ATTTTTATGTCCAATTATAAAATTTTAAATTTAAAAAATGGTTAAAATCAAGTAGGTCTATAAACATATAAAAATCTTGAAAATGGATGGTATAGATAATATGTTGTAAGATGCACTATTTTTGAAACTCAAAATCTTTTTATTTATCATAGTCATACATCTCGATGTCGAGATGATCAATCACAGAGTTTTTCAACATTAAAATAACCTTTTTCGATAGATTTTTGAGGTGCATCCGTTGTTCGACATTTTAAGGTTGCAACCTTATACAAACGTTTTTTTATATTTAATATTAATCACTTAAATATATTTATCATTGAAAACTTTCAATAAAACTTGGTCTATTAGATAAAGAAAATTTCATGCATTTATCTTCACAATTGAATATTTTATTAATTAATAATAAATATGATAGTAAAAAAAAACTAATATATTATTAATTAACATGGATCCATTTATAAAACAATTAAAATAATGAAGATGACATAAAAAAATAATTTAAAATAAATAAATAAAACAAATAAATTTATGCTTACTAATGCTAATATCAAATATATTAGTTTAACACATTTGAGCTTATTGATATCTATATCTAATATATTAAAAAGTATTTATAATGATTATTGAACTAAGTGTTTCTCAGGGTTAAGGTTGTGATTCCAGGGATTTTGGGGCGATTTAGGATTTTTGCGTGAATTAGGATTTTGGACGGTTAGAATTGAGAATTGAAGTCTTCTGCAAGGGTTTCAGAGTCTCCCTAGTCGTGCAAAGGTGTTTGGTTGCTAGGTTTGGGCTAAGGATTTTAGGTTCTAGAAAGCTTATAGGATAATTATACTTAAGAAACCTCCCCTTAAATTGGGTTGTTTGAGTGATTTAAAAAGCAGATTGGTGACCGAAACGGCATTCGGCACCTCAAAAATCAATATGGTTAAGTGAATCGGCAAGTTCAAAACGTCGTTTTACTGTGCGAACAAAATAGTGAACCGACAAAAAAAAAATGTGAAAAATTGTAAACTGGTCAAAAACTGGTCCAGATCAGTGAATCGACAGTCCAATCACCATTTTATTATAAAGAATCATGGTTTTACAATACGAAACCGCTGGTTGTCTTATAGACTCAATCGTTTTTTTATATATACGCAGAACCATAACAAGTGTGACCGATTCTCAGGTTGGATGGGACGATTATGTACCCATTCGATGTTTATGTTAAACGTATCCAGGTTGCACGGGTTTTTAAAATTTTTGTGTTTGGGTCATTAAATGGGTGCCGTTTGCAAATTTGAAATTTTTTACAATGTGGATATTGGGCAAGTGAAGGTCTGCTATAGGCACTTTTGAGTTTTAAATTGAAAATTCGAGTTTTTTTTATTTTTTTAAATATTTTTTTTATTTTTTTATTTTCATGTTCAAATTGGGACAGTAACATGCATTGGTGGATATGTTCACCATATTGATTATAAAAAAAATAAGGGAAATATCTTCGTATCTTCAATTTTTTGTTTTTAGCTTACTTTATCCACTTTTAGCTATTTTTTTTAGCGTTAACAAATATAAAAAATACATGCTTATTCTTAACCTTTTCTCTCTTTATGTAATATATTTTCCGAAATTTTTTTCTTTAAAATTTACCTTTTTTTGTCTCTCTAACACGGGAGAGAGAGGGTGATAAAATCAGTAGAGAGAGATTTAGGAAAAAATCTGGTGAGAGAAATGACGGTGTTTAAAAAAGATATGTCTATTTTATATTTGTTTAAGACAAAAAAATAGACATAAAAATAATAAAGTTAACTTAGAGAGTTAAAAGATATAAAACTTAAAATGGATATATATTAGGGTGAATAGATATTAAAAAGTTTCGATGGACTATCTAGATAATTTGTTTCAAAATGTATTTTTTTAAAATTTAAGTTCTTTTTTCTTTGACATCGGTACTCGAGGTGGAAATGAACGTAGGGCTTTTCGATAAGAGAATAACCTTTTTGAGTTACTTCCACAATTTAAGATTGACCCAATATATGGACATTTTACTTTTATTTTATTTTTCCGTTAATTCTATTTAAAAAAGCAAACAAAATATAACCGTCCTTATGTAGCGATAACATGGCCTTTATTATCGAATTGTCAAACAAGCTATAATGGCGAATGATCATGTGTTTATACCACTCCTGTCCCATTAAAAATTGGAAAATATTTTCATGCAAGTTGAACAGCATTTTTACATATGTTGTTTAGAAAGTGTAAAGCATCCGTTTTAAAGATAGATGCAAGTAGGTGTTCCTTCTAAAAAAATTGGAAACTAACGCATTTTTTATTTTTTAAAATATATTTATTTTTTCATATTCATGATCTCTATGTTAGAGATTACATCTCCTTAAAATTAAGCATCTCACAAATAGATTTATTAATATGCTTGCATTTCTACATGTACCGGCTTCGCTGCATAGAAACCGGGTCTTTTTAAAAAGAGAAACTATCTCAAATTTAAAGTTTTAGAGAGAGAAATATCTTAACTTTTTGATAGAGAAACTATATCAAATTTTAAAATTTAAAGAGAGAAAATATATTAAAATTTTAGATATAAAAACTATATCAAATTTTTAGATGGAGAATAGATCCACGTGCTCATCTCTCCAACTCCTATTAGGGACAAGATAACATCATCTCTTATAAGATTTACGTGATCATAAATCTGAAGAGATTTCACTTTCCAATAAGATAGGTATCATACCTCATAAATAGGAAAACAACATCACGTAAATCATCTTCCTAAAAATGTGGGCTCATAATTCTCTTTGATGCGATGAGCTAGGGATAAGGTGTGATGAAGGGAAGGCATACGAATTTCTTACATATTACAAGCATTTAGATTTTAGATAGAGAAAGCATTTGGATTTTAGACATAGAGAAATTTAGATTTTAGAGAGACAAAAAGCATTTAGATTTAAGATTTAAGACAGAGAGATAGACTAATCTATAGCACTTATCTATAGCTAACTTATTCCAAGAAAGAGAAGGAGAGCGGGGAAGGTTCTTGATTTTAGAGAGAGAATAAAAAGGATCTTGATTTTTCTTTTGATTTTATTTATAGGAGAAATTGGGGATAAGATCTAAAAGATTAGAGTGAGAGGACTCTTCATTAACCACTCTACTTATATAGAGAGAGAGCCCTTATTACATGGTTACAATTTTCATCATCTGGTTGCGTTTTCAATTCCTCAAGACTCCTTTTACTTTTTGGGTACGTTCTTCCTCAACACTTTCTTTATTTTTTTGGGTATCTTATTCTTCTGTCATGTGGTGATGCTTCCATCTCTCTCTGCATTGGTTTCTATTTTCCTCTATCTACTGGGTTTTTTTTCTCTCTTTTTTATTGGTTTTTTCTCTCTCTGGTTCTTTTTCATCGATTCCTTTGCTCAAATCGAAGCTTATCTATCTCTAAACATAGCCTATCGGTGTTTTCAAACTCGGCTGGTCCTCCAACCTTGAACCGGCCTGTCAAACCCAAACCGGTTTTGGTGGTCAGGTCAGGTACTTTAATTTCTTTTTTTAAAATATATAAAATCCTAATAAAAAATAGATTTATTAAGAGACCTGAATTTCCACGATTGGTCGCATAGAAACCGGGTCCTTCAAAATTTGAGGTTGGTCAGTGGCTCGCCGGGTTCAAATACGGTCCCCTTTCAAAAAACTCACCCTCATAGCAGACTTTCAATCTGAACTACAACGGTCATGAATGTTGGGGGTTTTTGAATCTCAAAAGAGTTCTACTATAATTTGTTTTGGTCCATTTATTTTATGGAAAAAGTTTATGTAATGTCAACACCTTATGATGTAGAAATAAGTTGCACTTCTAAAATCCTTTGAAAATGTTTGTTTTAAGGTTGGGAAAAGAAAATGTTTGTTTTAAGGTTGGGAAAAGAATAATCTCGATATCGAAATGTTTATATATGGAGAAAACAAAGGAGATTTGAAGTCCTACAAGATAGTACATGTTGCAGCGTATTATTTGGCTCGTCTTTTTCATGATTTTTATGTGTTTATAGATCTGTTTGATTTAAACAATTTTTTAGAGTCTAATATTTTATAATTAGAAATAAAAATAGATTATTGCACCATCCCAAAAATTTTGAGCGCCATGTTTTCCTTTAATAACAAATTTTTGAGGTGGACCTTATTTTGATTGTTTAAGGTTGTAACCAATTTTTTTTTTTTTTAAAAAAATAGATTGGTGACCAGAATCAGCCTCCTCAAAAACCATGTCGGATCAGAGAATCGGTCAAATCATCAAGTTTCCGCCATAAAAATTCAAAAAATACTAAAAATCTATAAAAAAGGAGTTTTTTGAGTTTTATAAAAAATTGAGAGTGTATATTATGTAGTTTCACTATTTGTAAAAATGCGTGAATATTGAGAGGTTCTTTCGTCGTTTGGATGTCTATAAAATTATTAATAATAATATAATGTTATAATATAATATTATAATATTGTATTAAAATAATTGAAAAATATTAGAAAACACTTTGCTAGGCCGGTGATGGAGGCTTGTGCTAGGCCAGCCTTGTCTCAAGCCCGGCCCGGCTCCTTAGAGGGCTCGATCGATTCGTCCATGCCCCAACTTGGCCAAATGGCCTAGCTCAAGCCCTAGCCCTGTCCAGGTCGCACCTAGTAAATAAAGAGTGATTTACATATGGACCCTTAATTTTTTTATAAAATACGAATTGCTCAGTTTATAGGCAGCACCTTTTTATTTTTTCAAAGTTACCCCTCGGTCTTACGATGGAATCCTCACTCCGAATTTTAATTTATTTATTTATTTATATGTTTTTTCGTTAGTAGGGCAATGCCCCAAGCTTTAGGTTTGTGCCCTACGGATGAAAAAATGAAATAAAGATTAAAATTTGGTTCAAGGATGTCCACGTTCCGAGGGCCAATTTTGGAAAATAAAAAAAATTGGCTGACGGACATTTTTTGTAATTTCCACTTATAAATGGAGCATTTCTGGAAAAAGTTTAGGGCATAATAAATGAAAGTTAAAAAAAACAAAGAATAATTTAAGGCCAAGATGGACCTAGAACCTGTCAATGCCTTGGCCCAGGCCCTGTCCTTAATCCGTGCCTGACCGAGCCAGGCGGGCTGGTCTTCCCAGCCCATGGCCAGCCGTAGTCTAGAATAGATTATCAGCCTATAAAGTCCAAAATACATATTAGAGATAGATTTATTTGTCAAAATCCCATTTTCCTCAAAATGGGGAGTTAGTGCTTCTTGATCCATTGTCCAAAATAGAGAATCACTTTCCCTCCTATGCGAGTTAAATTCCTTCCTAAAATCAAAGATATAAAATAACTGAATTCCCTAAAAATTGGTAAGAGGAAAAGAATTGATGCCCATTAATTTCCAAACAAACATGGGGATAATAATTCAATATTGTAATTAAAAGATATGAGGATAAGAATTCAATATTATAATAAAGAGAGATAATTAGATTTTTCTAAATAAAAAGCGATGTTCATTAATTTCCAAATAAAATGAGGATAAGAATTCAAGATTTGTAATAAGGATCATGGTTCGATACTGCTGGAGCCCTAACAATTTAAGAGGATAAGAATGAGGATACTGCTGGAGCCCTAAAGCGTCACCTCATAACTCATCGAAAGTTCAATTTAAGAGTTGGAAAACCTTTAAATCGTATCATCTCGGTTTGAACATTGTGGCTGTGAAAAAAATAGAATTTTAAATTTTAAAATAGTTTATATTACAACAAATCATCTAGACTGTCCATTTTTCCCTAAAAAAAAGTGTTTTGTACCATTTTTTTATTTCAAGTTTTTTTGTTGGTGTTAGAAATTGATTTTAGAGCCATAACATATATTTCTTATGTCAAAAGTGCTTTCTAGATGTGGATATTTATGATGCTGACAGTGCTTTCTAGATGAGGATTTGAGATGAACTTTTATTTTGTTTTCATAAATTCTAAGCCTTATAGAAACTCCATAGTCGTAATAAAAAGAGAGAATTGCATTTTTTTAAATAAAAAGCCAAAAGAAATGTGCCCTTTATTCATGAGGTAAGGGCATAACTGTAAATCCAAAATTTGACCGTTTTGTTAGTTTCTTGCTCATTCTTGCCTTCAATCTTTCTTTTTAATTATCGGATAACTTTTATTACAAATTTTGTTTCCCGTAATTTAGCAGATATCTGCTATTTTTTAGGGGATTATCCCCAAAACCTATATATAAGAGTAGAGATCACGAGCTGTCTCCAAATTTCAGAGGGCTCTCATCTCTCTACAATGAGAGAAAGAGTAGCCACCTTGTGCTTATATTTTATTTAGAACTCAAGCTAATTGCCAGATCAACTAGTGCAGATCAAGGTCGCCATTACTGAAGCTTTTCGAACTTTTTACAGGAGCAGAAATGGGGGCTCCTCTTCCAATTAAAGACTGGATAAGACTGAAAACTATAGGGAATGGCTCTTATGGAGATGTGAGTCTTGCCCGAAGCTTGGAAGATGGCCGTTTATTTGCTGTAAAGTCTGCAACCTGCAACAATGAAGAGTTTCTCGAATCTCTAGAGAGAGAAATTCTGGTACTCAAGAATCTGGATTCTCCTTTTATTGTAAGGTACCTTGGCCAGTGCAATGACGAAGAAGGAAGGCTGAATATCTTCATGGAGTACATGGATGGCGGTGATTTGTCCGCACTATCTATGAGATGCAAGGGATTGCCGGAAATGGCCATTAAAGCTTACACAACCTCCATTCTAAGAGGTCTTCAATACCTTCATGGCAACGGAATTATTCACTGTGATATTAAAGCAAAGAATGTGCTCTTGGGGTTCTTAGGCGACGTCAAACTTGCCGATTTTGGTGCTGCAAAGAGGGTCTCCAGTGAGCTTCATGATATTCACGCCGGGACTTTGGGGTGGATGGCCCCTGAAATTTTTAGGAGGAGGGAACAGGGCATACCCTCAGATATATGGTCCCTCGGTTGTACAGTTGTGGAGATGGCTACAGGGAAGGTACCAGAGTTATCACCAGAAAAACTTAAACTCACTGGAATTTCAGATTGCGGCCTTGATTTCCTTGAGAAGTGTTTCATTCGAGAGCCAACAGAAAGGTGGACGGCTTCTCAGTTGCTTCACCATCCCTTTCTGGCATATGTACACTCAAATGAAACCCTATTTTCACCAAGTACTGTCCTCGACAATTTATCGACTCCTCGACGAATAGAGTGGACTGAAACGCTGACAAGTTGCAGAGGTTTTGACAAAAATCAGACAAACATAACCCTAACAAGCTGCAGTGACTTTGATGAAGAACAGACAATTAATACCCTAAAAAGTCACAGAGCTTCACAAGCAATGCTGAGGATCAAAACCCCAACAAGTTGCAGAGGTTTTGACCAAGAGAGGTGGGAGACCAAGGATTGGCTAACATTGTGATCGTCAATGGCTGGAGAACTTCGTGCGCTTCCTTGCGCCTGAGAATATGTTTTCTGATGCTCCTATTTGCCTCAAGGCTAGATTTGAGAATTTTGAGTTTGGAAGGGGTTTGTGTTCATAAACAAAGCCCTCGTGCCAAATTCATGTGGCTATTTTATCGTGTCACTGTAGACATATGTTTCCTCTTACCCAAGGTGTGATACTTAAATTCTTTGTCTAAATTGAAAAGAGAAATTTTTGTAAGTTCAGTTACAAGATAGGTGTAACCCACACTGGATGATTGTATAGTGTTGTTATTGACTATTTATGTAATAAAAATAGCGGTTTGAATATAAGCTTGTTTTTCTTATTTAACTTTGTTTAATGTAAGATGGGCTTTTCACCCAAGAGCATGAACTTAGATTTTGATGATTTTGTATACTTAAAAATTTGTGTGAGGAAAATTTAGCCTCTCACAATGACTACATTGGAGAAGAAGAAAAAAAGCCAAACTTGTGTATTTACCATTTTTATTTCTTTCCCCCCCTTTTGAGATAAGCTAGCTCAAGTCCAAAAGTATAACACAATGGATATGATCCACATTGTTACGATAACAATGTGATCATGAGGTATCCCATCAATGGGTTAGAGAGTCATGAAGAGGAGTTTCAAGTTTTTCCAACCAATCAATGTCACTATGGCCACACCCTATCTATATCACCTCTCTTCCCAGTGATTGCATGATGATAAAGAAAAAGGAAAACAACGAAAAATTTCCCCCTTTTTTTTTAGGCTATTAGAAAAAAAAAGCCTCAAATTTTCTAAAACCTAAATCATACCCCTTTTCATTGCTATTTGAATTTTTGACCAAAATATTATTCACGATATTTTTAGGTCAGTGATGCCTTCAAAATCTCTTCGTGTTGGGTTTAAGTCATCAGGGTTCAGTTAATACTGTGATACTTGATTCTCATTTAAACCTTCACAGTATTTACAGAACTATGATGGTGTAGATTATATTTTTTTAACAAACATTCCAAATTTTATTAGATCATACTAAACTAAAGAGATTACATCGTTAGAGACCACAAGGGAAGGCAAAGACGCCCCACCTTTAGCGGGGGAATCTGCAAGAGCATTTGCTTCCCGAAAAACCGTTATGCTAACCGCGGCAATCTCACCACAGTGATACCCTTTCATGGACTTCTCACACCCGCGTTCTTCGTCACTGCAATTTCCAAATTCGAATTGCTATTTCCAAATTCGAATTGTCACTGCTATTTCCAAAACCGTGATGCTAAAACCGCCATTTCCAAATTCGAATGCCCCAAACTCTTCTTCCTCTCTCGCATTCTTTGTCACTGCTGATCTCTCTCTCCCTCTCTCTCTCTCGCACACATAGACACACCAGAACAATTGTATCCTAGCTTCTACTACCTCTCGTGTGCTTTCTCTCTAACAGTGCAAGGAATTTATAGCCATATTTCTCTCTCGGTCATAAATGTCTCTCCAATCGTCACTGTTGCAGTTAAAAGAGAAATCTCCCAGACCCTTTGTTTGTGCTTCTTCCCCCTCATCAGATGTTCATCATTGAGATAAAAAGTCACGACCCCAAATTCTTTTTAAATAATTTATTTTGATTGTTATGTAGCTCTGTGTTGGTACATACTATGCTTGAAAATCATGTGTGTGTATGTTTTTGTAGCTCTATAATTTATTATAATTATTACTATTTTGATTATGGTTCCTAAATGGTAGATCAAATTTATTCCCGTGCTATTTATTGAAGAATGTGTTTGCTGAGTTTTTATTTTTGTTTTCTTCTTGATATTTTTTTAAGCATTTTGCCGATTTAAACAGTCAATTATTTGCTAATGTTTGGTGAACAATTTTTTTTCTGCAAAAGTTTTTATTTGCTTCCTTCACCGACAATTTTCATACCCTAAATTATTTGCTAATGTTTGGTTCCTTCTTAGATTATTATTCGTTATTGTTTGATGCGTCATTTAAGAAGTTTAATTTTGACATGGATTATGAGATCTACTTAGCTGAAGACAATAAGATAAGATTTGTTTTGAAAAAATAAAACTTGTCTCCTCCTCCTAAATGCCAAAACCTCTTGATATTAATATTTTTTGTTACTAATTATTTTTTAGTATTTGAATGTTATGCATCAATGAGTTTTTTGTTTGGGTTTTTTTTATGAAAGTAAACTACTTTCATGCTAACTTCTATCAGCGTTAATAATGATTGTTATTAAGTTTTATTACTTCTATCGGTTGTTCATAGCTGAGAGAGAGAGGGTCAAAGTTAAAGAGGCCTATCAGATTAAAACCAAAATGAAAAGGCTCCCTTTAAACTTTCCAAAAAGAGGTCCAAGTGCCAAAAGTCCAAGATAAAGAAAGTTAGGTGCTCAAATCAAAAATCGAGGGGCACTTGTTTGATAGATCATAGTTAAGAGTCTCTTCAGGTCAACTTCCTTGACCTTAACCATCCAAACTTCAAAAGGTTAGTGGTAAAGGAACAAAATGGAAGTTCAAAGAAATCCCAAGTACTGGAGCCAACATCTTACATTCCAGGACATTTGTTCCAAATTTTAATTTGGAATGCGACACAAGGGCTATGATTAAAGATAAAAAATAATTGATGATTCCAGGTCCCGAAGGTCCTATAAAAGTATGGGCAAACTCGTAAGGCTCACCAAAGGGCCAGCCGTGACTGAATTATACAACCCACATGTTTGGGTACTCCCACACATGGTGTATATACTTGAGGGATTGTCAACAAAGAGATCATTTATCTTTTGTATATGGAGGTCACAATCATTCTCACTTATTAGATGTCAAATTAGATTGTTTGGAGTGAGTCACAAAGTTCAAGAATTTATTTTAGAACTTTGTGTCTATTCAATGACACTTTTACAACCACCCATTTGAAATTTAAAGGAAGATTGATCATGACTTCCATATATAAGAGATATTATATATATTTATATGTGTGTGGTAGAAGAGCTTGAGGTCAGCTCGCTAGCTGACGGTTGCAGTAAACGCCTAATGGCCTAGATCGAATTTGGACCAATCCAATGGTAATGCTAGTATTTTCTATTTTAGATTTAATTTTTTTACAAATCCAAATCACTTAAAATGTAGAATGTATATTCTTAAAATATAAGCGAATTTAATAAAAATATCAAAATAATAATTTTCAAAAATTGAATGGACAAAAATATCTATGAATTCATCAATTTGTTTTCAATAAATAATTTTTTAATATTTTTAATAGGTGTTCCTTAATGAGAAGAGTGGAAACACCAAAGTTCATATGATATAAACATGTATAAATAGCACTAAAATTTTAATATGAAATATAGTTGTCACCATCTGATCTGCCTAAATTCAATCTAAGTCGTTGGGCTTATAGCTATTCCATTAGCCCATGGGTTGACATGATCTTTTCCCATGGACTGATACGATCATCATCATCAAAGTCCTTTTTTTATTTTTGGAATTGGTAATATCAGAAATGAGTTTTACCCCAAATAGTTGGGAAAAGACTCTAATGATGATATTGATGATGATATGTAATAGATTTCACATCTAATTCGATAGGTAATGTTCTTCTCAATGAATAAACAAAAACATTATCAAAATAAACGCACCACATAATAAGAAATACCCATACCATCAACGGCTTCTATGACTTCACTCCAATTCAAGTTTTTTTGGAGAATTATGAATGTTTATGGCCCTAATGACCCTGCTTGTAAAGAAGGTTTCGTTAATGATATTGATGGTGTGATTTAAAAATTTAATTCCTATGTGCATAGGGGGGTATTTTTAGTCTTATAAGGTGGTTAGATAAATGTTCTGCAGGTTCTTCTATTAATTCATCAATGAGATTGTTTAATAGATTTATAAAAAGTAATTCTTTCTTGGATCTATTGATTCTTGTAACTAAATTTACTTGGTTGAATAATAGTACCATTAGTCTCTCAATGTCTAAATTGGATAGACTTTTTGTATCTGCAAATTGGGTAGATGCATTTCCTCTTGTCTCTGTTAGAGATCTTCCATGTATTTCTTCTGATCATATCCCCATTTTGTTATATACCAGCATGGAGAGAGGCGGGCCGAAGCCCTTTCGGTTGGATATTAGGTGGTTGGAAGAGTAGGCAATGATTAAAACCAACTGGCAAAATACTATTTCTATTGGTTCATTGAATTTTCAATTGCATAAAAAGCTAGTTAATATTAAACATAAGCTCATTGATTGGAAGAAAAAGAATAATTATAATGTTCAGTCCAAAATTGATGAGGTCTTAGGTGAAATTGAAGTTTTAGACCAGCACGTTCAATCTTCAGTTGTGTTGACCGAGGAGATGTTGGGTGTTAGGAGTTCGAAGTTGAAATCTCTTCTAGATCTTTGTAGAGTTGAGGGGTTATATTGGAAGCAAAGATCAATGATAAAGTGGTTAAAGGAGGGTGATCTAATACTAAGTGTGAGAAGAAGGCAAAATGATATTTCTAGTTTAGCTATCTCTGATGTTGAGACATATGATAGTGCCGCAATGGAAGGGGCTATTATTGACCACTTTAAAAAGGTTTTCTTGTCGGAGGTGAAGTTCACTCCTAAATTGGCAAGGGTGCATTTAAAAGTTTCGTCAGTGGAGTCGAGCTCTAATTTGGAGTGCGACATTTCTATGGAAGAACTTAAGGCACTGTTTTTGTTTTACCTGGTGATAAGGCTCCATGCCTAGATAGTTTCCTCTTTCTTTCTTCTATAGATTTTGGAACTTACTTAAGGCTAAGTTATTAGAGATGGTTAAAGCTCTTATGACCAGGGGTGAAATATTCAAAGGGGTTAGTGCCACGTAAATAGCTCTTATTCTTAAAAAGTCAGTGATTGCAGAGTTATCTGATATTAGGCCCATCAGTCTTTTGACTAATCTTTAAAAGATTGTGGTAAAAGTCTTGACTGAAAGATTGAAGTTTGTTTTACCTTCCTTTATCTCTAACAATCAA